TATTCTTCAAATATATTTTATATTTAAGAAAATTTAGTTAATAATGGTTAAGTTATTTTAATTTTTTTTTTTTTTTTTTTTTTTTTTTTTTTTAAATGTAATATTTTTTTTCATTTGCAAAACCATATTGCCAAAAAAAAAGTAAAAAAAAAGAAAATGAAAAAATTTTTCTACATATATTTAAATGTATTAGTTATCGTGCCAAAAAATAAAAAACTAAATAAATATATATTTACTTATTAAAATATTATACTGTAATGTAAAAATATAAAATTTATAAATATATACACCTTTTTTAGAAGAAAATGTGAGTTAATTATAGATAATTGTATTTCTATGATACTGTAAAAAATGAAATTCTAATTTCATATATATATGTATATATATATATATACATATATATATATATGTATATATTTGCTTTTTGTTTATTTTTGTTTTTTTCTTTTTCTTTTTTTTTTTTTTTTTTGTTGTACTGTATAAAAATTTATCGTATATAAAAGCATATGTAAATGTATGTAAATCATAACTGTGTGCTTGCATATACATATTGTGCTACTAATAAAGATAAAGAATCAATAGAAATAAAATATAAAAAATAAAAAATCAAATTATAAAATTATATAAATCCTGACATATTCATTAAAAAAGAAGAAAAATAATAATTTGTTATTATGTTTTAAAATTAAATAGAACAAGTAAATATATATTTATTTATTTATGCTTCAACATCTCCCTCTTCCTCCTCAAATTCTCCTTCTTCTTCAGCTGTTGCATCTTGGTATTGCTGATATTCAGATACAAGGTCATTCATGTTTGACTCGGCTTCTGTAAATTCCATTTCGTCCATACCTTCTCCAGTATACCAGTGTAAAAATGCCTTTCTTCTAAACATAGCTGTAAATTGGTCTGAAACTCTTTTAAACATTTCCTGAATAGCTGTTGAATTTCCTACAAAAGTTACGGCCATTTTTAAGCCCTTTGGTGGAATATCACAAACACTTGATCTGTTTTTCAAAAGGAAAAAAAAAAAAAAAATGATATAAATTGAGTTTTAATTAATTGGAATAAAAGATTATATATAAACTAAAATAATGAAAAATAATAAATTTTATTTATTTATTTATGGTTATGAAAAATATTCAAATAAATTTACATTTAGTTAAATATTTATATAAATATATACAGATATTGGTAGTCACTAATGCACAATTATATATATAATATACATTTTATAATTTAAAAAAAAAATATAATTACTTTGTATTATGTGGTATCCATTCTACAAAATAAGAAGAATTTTTATTTTGTACATTTAACATTTGCTCATCAACTTCTTTTGTTGACATTCTTCCCCTAAACATAGCACATGCAGTTAAATATCTACCATGTCTTGGATCACTTGCGCACATCATATTTTTTGCATCAAACATCTGTTGAGTTAATTCTGGTACAGTTAATGCTCTGTATTGTTGACTTCCTCTACTTGTTAAAGGAGCAAAACCAATCATAAAAAAGTGTAAACGAGGGAATGGAATTAAATTAACAGCCAATTTTCTTAAGTCACTATTTAATTGACCTGGAAATCTCAAAGAGCATGTAACACCTGACATAGCAGCTGAAACTAAATGATTTAAATCTCCATAAGTTGGAGTTGTTAATTTAAGGGTTCTAAAACATATATCATACAATGCCTCATTATCTATAACTTGTACTTCATCAGCATTTTCCACTAATTGATGAACTGACAAGGTTGCATTGTATGGTTCAACAACAGTATCTGAAACTTTAGGAGAAGGAAAAACTGAAAAGGTTTCCATTATACGATCTGGATATTCTTCTCTAATTTTACTAATCAATAATGTACCCATTCCACTACCAGTACCACCACCTAAAGAATGGGTAATTTGGAATCCTTGAAGACAATCACATCCTTCAGCTTCCTTTCTAACAACATCTAAAACTGCATCTATTAATTCTGCTCCTTCAGTGTAATGTCCCTTAGCCCAATTATTACCTGCTCCTGTTTGACCAAATACGAAATTATCAGGTCGAAATAATTGACCAAAAGGACCTGCACGTACACTGTCCATGGTTCCAGGTTCTAAATCCATTAATATAGCTCTTGGAACATATCGGCCTCCTGTTGCTTCATTGTAAAATACATCAACTCTTTCTAATTGTAAATCACTATCACCTCTATATGTACCACTCTAAAAAGGAAAAAGAAAAAAATATACACATATATAATGTAATAAAAAAAAAAAATAAAAATAAAAATATGAATAAAAAGAAATAATATATAGGTAAAATATCTATTCATTAATACATAGTGGAAAAAACAAAAAATTCAATAGCATGCTAAGTAATCACAAAAATATTAGAATAGTATAAAACTTTTTTTAATTTTTATTTTTCTAGTAGTACATATACTTAATTATGTATTCAAAATAAAAATATAAACTTTTTAAAATTAGATAAATTAGGTATATTTATAATAGCTGCGAAACCAACATTCATTTCTATATTTTACCATATACTTAAAATATATACATGAATTTTATAATACTAACATAAATAACATTTTTTTATTAAGAGATATTTAAAAAAGTTTATGGGAATTTTTATAAGATATACTATACAAAATATAATTAACTATAAAAATACATGTTAAAATAGGTATAATGTTTTAAGTTACTCGAATTTTTTATTATATTAATAAAAAAAGTAATAAATAATATATATATATAAATATACTAACAAAAAAAATATAAAAAGATATAATTAAGATATATATATATATATATATAAATATATATATGTATAAATATATATGTTTTTAATAATATACTGGATCTATTCCATGTTCATCAGAAATGACTTCCCAAAATTTTGCACCAATTTGGTTACCACATTGGCCTGCTTGAATATGAACAATTTCTCTCATTTTTTAATATATTGATCTCAAAAATTATTTTTTTTTTTACAATTGTTTCAAGTAATAAAAATAATGTATAAATTAAAAAATATCACATAAAAATATATTACTAGTAAAACTTAAAAAAAAAAAAAAAGAAAAAAAAAAGAAAAAATGATAAGAAAAATAAGAAAAAGAGAAAATAAAATGGAAAAAAAAAAAAAAAAAAGAAAAAGAAAAATGAAAAGAAAAGAAAAGAAATAGAAATAAAAAAATAAAAGAAATTAACTAAAATAAAATAAATAATATGATTAATATATTTAAATTTCTTTCCTTTTATTTTTTTTTAAGTGTGTAAAAAAAAAAAAAAAAAAAAATTAAACTTTTTTAAATGGAAAGATTTTAATGATGACCATGCATAAATTTAATAGTAGCAATAGGTCAAAAAAAAAAAAAAAAAAAAGTATAGCATATATATATATATTTATAATATATTAATTTTTATTTTATATAATAAAATTATTTGCGTAAATGTATGCGAGACTTTTAAATATGTATCGCATTTGTATATACAATGTAAAAATAATATAAATTATTTTTTTTAACGCTTTATATGTTTTTATTCAATGTGTATGCATAATGCACAATTAAGATTTTTTAGTATTTAATAAATGATAGAGATTTTTTATTTTAAATATTTATAAGAATTCCTTAGTTTTAGAATATATATATATATATATATAAATATGTAAAATATGTATTAATTTGTATGTTTTTTTTTTTTTTTTAAAAGGGTTCAGCTTATTTCTTATTTTAATTTTTTTTAAACTTTTATTATTTTTTTTTTTATTAGTGTGCGCTTATATAATTCTTAATGTGATATTTACTATAATCAAAAATTAAATATAAAATTCTGCAAAATAACGATTTAATTACTATTCTTTTTTTCTTTTTTTAACTTGAATAGACAAAATTAAAATAATTTATTAAAGTGATAAAAAAAACATATATAATCAAATATAGAAAAAGTATTTTAATTTTATTTATTCTTTTTATTTTTTTTTGTAAATATATCTTAGTATATTTATTTTTAATTATATAAGAAATTTTAAGAATTATAAAAAAATAAAATAATATAAAATAAAATAAAAATTAATTTCCTCTAAATCATTTATATTATTGCTTAAAATAAATTTATAATATATATAAATTTACAGGATGTATGAATAAAATCTTATAAATAGAATATTTTCTACAGTTTTTAAGAATTTTAAGGAGAAATTAATAAAAATTGCAAATTATTATCATTGTTTTTTTCCTTATATGTTTTTAATCCTTTTTTTTTTTTTTTTTTTTTATTTTATAATTAAATGTGCAAAGACATATAACTATTGAAAATTTAGCTAACATCAATAAATTGTTCATTTCTATATAAAAAGAATAATAAATATAGGACAGCTTTTTTGTTCCCCTTCTTGAAAATAAATTATTTGAAAAAGGATTTTATTAGTATAGCTTTTAAATGTTTAGAAAGTGTAAAATACACAGCATAGGAGAAGCTTTCATTAATAAAAAGTTTTTAATAATGGAATTTATAATCTAAATGTTATACCTAACTAAATAATTTATAGAAATTTTTTTTGCTGCTATTTTTTCTAAGAATATTTGCCTTTTTTTAAATAAGAAATTATTGTATTTTCTTATAATTTTAAAAAAGCATCACACGGAAAACAAAACTTCTTTTAAGCTTATAACTATTTTATTATAATATACAGGCTTATAGGAATTTGTATATATATTATTAATTCTAATATATATATTTTTTTTTTTATTTGTTGTTTTTGGGAAATTGTGTGCATATAATTATTTATATAATTGAGAGGGAAAGGATTTAGTTTCTTTAATAAGCGTGTGCATATCTCTGCGTGCTATAAAAAAGTACTAATCTTTAATTATATATTCTTGTGAATTATAAATAAGTAAAAGATATTTTTCATTGACTTAATTTATATCATATTAAGATATTAAACAGAAATAAAAATAATTCCTTAGTTAACATTTATATTATTAGTAAATACTCACTGAAGCTCATTTAAAATTAATTAGTATAAATATAGAAGTTATTCTTTAATATATAAAGAATATATTTATTCCTTTTTTTTTTCATTTTTTTTTTTTTTATAATATATAAATTAAAACACATTTACTCAAAATTCATAGAAGAAAAAAAAGAGATTGTTAATAAAAACTTTAAGTTCAAATAGCAATATAAAAAAAAAAATGAAAGTAGTAATTTGAATGTTGTTCGTAATAATGAAAGTAATTACACATTTATATATTTAAAAATATAAAATAAAATTAGAAAAAAAGCGAGAAAACTAATCTAGAAATAATATGTTTTCCTTAATGATAAATAACGTTGATCAAAATTTGAAAAAAATATTTTAGATTCTTAATTTTTATTATAATTTTTTTAACAATATAACAAAATTATATATATATATATATTGATTTTTTTAAAAAGGTAGATAATATTATAAATGTATTTTGTGGGAAATTATAAAAGGCAAAGATGAAAACAAAAAAAATAATTAGGTAAATAACAAAGTTAAATTTAGTAATATATAATAAAAAAGAAAAATATTATCTAGAATCTTTTAACTTCTTAATACATAAAATTTTGATAGATCATATTGTTTATTATTATTATTTCAAAGGAATATTTATAGAAAAAATATCTGGTAACCCACGTAATTTCCAAAAAAAAAAATATATATAATTAATTAACATTTACAAAATTTATTAAATTATTAAAAATAAATAAAATAATATTATAAAATGATACCTTTAAATAGTGTACACAAATAACATAATTTAAAATAATAAAAAAAAAAAAAAAATAAAGCAAAGGTAAAGGTAAAGAATAAGATTTTAATGGCTATTTATAATATATATAAAAAAAAAATTAATAAAAATAAAAAATCTAAAAAATATATATTTAAAGTAAAATGGAATTTAAAAATATGAAAAAAAATTAAAAAAAAATATTTATGTATATATATATATATGAAGATTTAATAAAAATTTAAAGAATAATTCAATTCTAATTTTAAGAGCTTATTAATATTTTTTATAACATTTCAAAATGTTTTTTTTAATTATTAATATTCAAAAAAAAAAAAAAAAAAAAATTAAAATGAAAATTATTTAAAACTATATACAAACAATAGGATAATACACTTTTTTTTTTACTTCCTCTTTTGCTTTTTAATAAATTTTTTATTATTTTTGTCAGCTTCTCTTTTAAATCGAAAATCATTTTTTTTATTAAATAAGTTCTTATTCTGTACATCATTTGATTGATTTGGGTTGTATTTATTTTGTTGAATTTGTTGTGATTGAGATTTAGAACCTGAAGGATTCACTTTTTTTTGTAAATTATTTGTTATATATTCTAATCTTTTTTCTAAATCGGATTTACAAGCAATTGCAATTGAAGGTTCAGAAAAATTTCCAAGAGCATCAACCCTAGTGCATAAGGATAATTTTGCTGCTAGGGATCTACTTATTTTTCCTTTTAATTTTGGGGATGTTTGTCCAACTATAGTTGCATGATATATAAGTCCATATTTTGGTGTTTTTGATTTCGTTTTTAAGGCTCTAAATAATGCTTTTTCTGATCCTAAAATTTGTAAAGTAGAACTAGGATGTTTAGCTAAAGATATTAAAGATCCTGCTCTTGCAATTAATTTTGCACCTATTAAATCCCCCACTAAATAAGTTAAATTCGGTGCAATAGAATTCATTCTATATTTTAAATATGTAGCTAATGATTCCCTATAATCCGTTAACTCTAATAATCTATCAGCTAATTCATTTATACAATTTAAATCATCTTCTTCTATTTCTGTTCCCATTGAAATTTCTGCTAACTGTTTAATTTCTTTTTGAATTTCTTCTGTTGTTTCCTCTAATAAATTCACATTTTTTGCATTAGATCTAAATCCTATAATTTTTACACATTTGGCATATATTTTGTTATCTGTTATAATTTTACCTAACTCTGGAAAATGCCAACCATACCATTCTTTTAATCTCATTGAAAAAACATTTATTTCTTTATCTAGATCTTCTAATAATCCCACTGCCTGAACTATCATTACATCTACTTTGTCTGCGCTAAATTTTAGTTTAAATCTATTTAATGAATGAGACAAACTTAATTTTAATAATTTTGAATCTTCTTCTTTTACACCTACTAAAAGGTCATATATGTGGGTTTTAATTCCTCTAATTATTTCCTGTGTTGAATTTGTATATGTTACATTTATATTAAATTTTTTTTTTATTATGCCACCTAATGCTTTATCACATAATGCTAAAGACTCATTTAATTTAGGTTTTACTATATTTTTTTTTAAAAATTTTTTTAATCCTTTTCCCAATTTCGATTCCATTAATGAGTTAGTTTCATCAAATGCATTTTGAAATTTTTTAAATTTACTAAAACTGTATAAAGAGACATTTTTTCTTGCTTCTTCGGCATTTTCAAAACATTTTTCAATATCCTTTATATCTGATTCAATTAATTTACTATTCTCAACTTTAAATAATCCATACCCTGCTGCTGTTTCTACTAAAATCAACATTTTTATTTTTTTATTTGATATATTTTTTTAAATCATATAAATTTTTTTTAAAATTTTAAAATTTCTTGTTAATGTTGTATTTTTTTTCTTATTTATATTATTAAGCAACCTTATTAAATGGATATTTTTTTTTTTAATAAATAATTTTAAAAAAAATTTTTTTTTTTTTTTTTTTTTTTTTTTTTTATATTTTTATATATGAATTTTTTTAGATACTTATATCCTTAAAGTATCTACATATATTTTACATTATACATATATGTATTTGTTATCATTATAATATCAATTTAAAATTTTTTATATTTTTTTCCTTTAAACAATACTAAAGTAGTTTCATATACTTAATTTATAAAATTTCTTTTTTTTTAAACACCCATTAAAAAATATTTCTCTAAAAAATGTTTATATATGCTATTTTGTAAAAAAAAAGAAAAAAAAAAAAAAAAAAAAAAAATTAAATGAGGTTAATTTTTTATTGAAAATTTTATTTGTATTTATATAACGAAAAAAAAAAAAACTTTATTAATAAAGTATGAATTTAATTTTAAAAATTATGATGATATGAATTAAGCAAAATGTAAAAAATTATATGAATGAATGCATTTTATTTTATATAAAATAATTGAAGAAGAAATTAAAGTTTTTTGTTGAAAATTTTATAAAGTATGATCATATTAGCCTTCTTTTAAAATTTATCTTACAAGTATATATTATTTAAAATACCAATTTTTGTTATATATATAAATTGTAAATCAAATATATAAAATGTTTCTTATTGAAATTAATTGATTAAAGAAAAAAAGGCAAAAATCTTTGTTTTCCATTTGCAAAACTATGAAAATTTTTCCAAACTAATTATTGTTTAAATTATTTAAATATATATTTTTTGTGATATATTTTTAAGTTTTATTACCTACAGAAGTTTCTTTTTCATTGAAGAAACTATATGAATATAGAGATATTTTTATTTAAAACCTCGTTTTATTATAAAAATAAATAAATTTAAATTAATACTAAGATGTAGGTTTTCTTAAATTTTTTACAAAAAAAAAAAAAAAAAAAAAAAAAAAAAAAAAAAAAAAAAAAAAAAAAAAAAATATATATATATATATATAAAACGCTTTAATATATATGATATTTATATAATTTTTATAATTTAAAAATATACATATATATATATGTATATAATTTCACATAACCTTTTATTTCTATTAATTTTTGTTAATAAAAATACGCACATAAATATGTATTTAAATTATACGTACCAATTTAATGTATAAAAAAGGAAAGAAAATTTTTAAATACGGATCCAAAAATTAAAAGAAAATACAAATAAAAAAAAAAAAATTAATCAGGAATTAGAAAAATAAAAAGTTGCTATACATTGTAAATATAATAAATATATAAGACCTTTAACTCACTTGAAATTATGAATTTATTTATATTTACTTATTAAAGTTTATATATAAATATTTTTATTTATTTATTTTTTTATTTTTTTCAAACATTCCATACATTTATTTCACATTTTCCTCCAATTGAAGTAACATACGATGGTATGTTGTTATTAGTCGATTTTTTTATAGAAATATTTACATTACTTTTATTAACTTTGCTAATGTAAAAAATGTTATTTCTTTGAATAAGCTGTTGAATAATTGGAGACAAATTAATGAAACTACAACTCTTTGTCACAATAGTTAGAGGTTCTTTATAATCTTTTACATCCAACCAAAAGCGAGTAATTCTATTATTATTTCCATAAATAATTCTTATAGTTCTATCTTTCAATGAATGAGAGATAGTATCATCGATAAATTCTCTATCAAAAGACCAATTAATTACATCATCACTTAATATGTTCATGTAGGTATGATATGATGTCTTTAATTGTATATATATTCTTGTAAAACTATCCATCTTTATTTTTTTATATCCTAAAGTTGTTTTTATTGAACCGTTATAAAATAATTCATATTTTAAATTGTCATCTGTTATATTTTTATTCATTAAGTCTTTATTTTCTATATAATTTATAGTAATATTTGATTCGTTTCCTTTTTCTTTAAATAAGGAATTTTTTTCGAATAAATCATTCTGAGTATCATCAAATATTTCATCCAATTCATAAAAGTCTTTTTTATTTTCTTCACTAAAATCAATATCATCCTCAATCGGTGATTTATATGGAACGAAATCAAAATATCCACAAAAGTAAGGAATACTAAAGGTATTTCCATACTTTTCATTCAAATTTTTCATATTTTGAAATTCTAATTCATATTTATCTGGTAAATTTTCTTTATCAATATATTGTTTTATTTCATTTAAATATATTTCCTTTAAATCTTCTCTATTATTCAAAAATTTCAAACCATATTTATCTAATTTCAAACTATCACAAAGACCAAAACTTAAACCATTATATTCATCAACTATATTTCCTATTTCATCTCTCACTTTTATGCTTACATGAGCTATATTTACTCTCTTTAGAGTTTTTTCAGAAAATGGATTTTTTAAAAATAATAATATATAGATAAAAGAAAGAAAAAAAATCATGAAAAAAAAAGAATTAATATTTTTAAACTCTTTTTTTTTCATTATTAATAGTGGAATAAATAATGTAATTAGGAAAAATATTCCAAAAAAAACCATAACTGATATTTGAAAATCATTTGTTACAAATTTTGTTATATCATTATAACCACTTTTTGAAACACTAGAAAAGATAATCCAATAAGATATATTTATTATATATGAATATATATATAGCATAGGTATATGAGATATAAATAATTTATTTCTATAACAATTGAAATTAATTACATCTTTATTTTCTTTGTTATTTGATTTTAGGCATGTTACATTTAAAATTAATGTCAATACTTTTACTAATAATATACCACTTGCAAAAAAAAGAAGAATAAAAGATAATCCTAAATTTAAAAAGAATGCTAAAAGAAAAAGTAACATATATAAGTAAAAGGAAGCATTATAACCATATAATGCCATATATAAATATAATTCATTACAAGAATCTTCTTTCTTATTTATATTATTTTCTGTTTTTTTTTTTTTCATTTCAAACATTTCCTCACATTCTATATAGTTAACTTTACTACTTATTTCTTCTTCTTCATATTTTACTGGATTATCAAATTTATTATTTTTAACTAACTTATTTTCTTCATTTCTTCCTTCATCATTTATTTCACTATATTCTGTTAAATTTAAACAAACATCTTGTTCAATATGTAAAGATTCTCTTGTTCTTCCATCATAAAATTTCCCGTTTTGTTTTGAATTGTTTTTCTTTTCCTTTTCATTTTTTTTATTATAATTAATTTCTTTTTTTTTTAATAAACCCACAAGAATTTTTGTTATTTGATAATGAAAATAATAAAATGATATAAATGCAAGTGATCCATAAACTAAATAAACTAAAAATATATTAGTATAATAAAAAACTTTTAAATTTAGTAAATTCTTAAACAACTCAAATAAATATAGTATCCCAAGTGTTAATAATAAAGGAAGGATATAAGAGAAGAGAAGTATTAACAAGGTTGAATAAATGCTAACTTCTCTGTTATACAATTTTTTTTCTACTAGAGATAAAAAAAATTTTAGAAAAGCAAGGATAAAAAAGCAAAAAAGCATGTTAAATTTACTTATTACTAATACGTAATTAGGTATAAAATCATAAAAGAAGTAATGTTCTACACTTAATATATCAATTAAATTATTAATTTTTGTATTCAATAGTTTAAAAGGTTTAATTATAAAGTTAAATTTATTGGTCTCATTTACGTTGTCTTTGGAATTATTTTCTAAATTTTTTTTTTCTACTAAAAAATCAGAGTGCATATCTTTTAATATATTTGATATCAATTCTAGCATGTTATTACCTATATGTTGCATAGTTCCTCTTTTTAAGTTATTTATGTTATCATGTGATGTATGATAAAAATATCCTTTTATACATGTAACTATGTCAAGACCCTCTGATGATTTCATATAAGAATTATAAGCTTTATAATCAGTATTATTTCCAGTAAAATATTCAGCATCATTAGCAAATGAAGAAAATGTTGGATTTAATGAATACTTTTTATAAAAATTTAAAATTTCTTTATTTTTATATGGAGTTCTATAAATTATAAACTGTCCACCATAACCAATAGAATCCAAATTAATGTAATACTTTACACCAAGAGACCATATATGAATATTACTAAATCCATGAGCACTGAGTAAATAAGCTTCTTCTGCCCCATTAAAATTTAAAATAAATGGAGTTAAAAATATTTTTCTACTAATTAAATTTCTGAACAGTTCAATCATAACAGCTACATATGCTCCTGCATCAGAAACGGCAGGAGACTGAATAGAGCTATCATAATGAGAAGAAATCATAAAATAATTTAGTCCTTTTGAAAACTCAAAAAAAGCTTTCATTTCTTCAGTATTCAAATTTTGTAAAAACTTTTCATTTTCATATAATTCGAAATTTTTTTTAAAATTCTCATTTATAATGTAACCAGATACTGCACGAATTAAATATGTAGCAACTCCTTTGTATATAGTTGTGTATGACTCAGTAAATTTATATGTATGTGCATAATTTTTGTAATGCTGTTCATCAATGTATATTAGATTATTTGTTAAATGATTTTTTAAACTATCTTCTTTTAATTCTTTTATATTGTCCATAATACTTTCTAAAATGTGTTCATTATAATATATATTTCTTTTTACATCAAAGTAATAAAATCCGTTAAGTTTTGCATCATTACATGATATATTTTCTTCACAAGTCATTATACCTTCCGTCTCTATTATATGTAGTTTAACTATGTTTATCAATTTTTCTTCCTTTACATTTATGCTTTCTAAATTATTATTATCAATTTTTATTTCTCCAAAGCAAATGCAACTATTATCTTTTATAAAAGGGGCCAATATTTCATTGAATTTTAAATTTTTTTTATAATCATTTACTAAATCATCAGGAATATATATTCCATATTTAACAAAACCTAAATTTATATAGTCTGATTTTTCTTTTAATATATTTTCAAACAACTCCTTTCTTAATAGTTCTACAACCATCACTTCGTTGGCATAATGACCAACTTGCTTATATAAATAATCTAAATAATCTTCTTTAATATCATTATCTAATATATTTTCTTTTATATCATTATCAAATGTGCTTAATCTATACGAAATTTCTAAGCTCCTTTCCTCAGAAAATATTTCGTCTTCTACATCTTTTTTTAACGGTTCGGATATTTTATCAAAATATACAAAAAGATATATATGTAAAAAAGCAATAATGAAAATATACAAACACGAAATAAATATATTTTTCATTTTTTTATATAATTTTATTTATCAGAAATATATCTCTCTTTCTAAATAATTTACACTTACATTAATTATTATTATTATTAATAATAAAAATTAAGTAATAAGAATTTTTAATAAATACCTACTAAAAACATAATACCTATTTGCAATTATAAAACTTCTATACTTTTATGTATATACAAATATTCATTAAATAATGTGCATAATATATTTATTTAAAATAATACAAATGATAAATTTTTTAAAAGGAATAATCTATAAACTAAAAAAAAAAATATTAAATATAAATAAAAATGTTTTCACAACTAAAAATATATAAGAAATTTATTTATAAAAGGATCTTGAGAACATGCTTAATACATTCAATATTGCTATAAAATAAAAATTTTTAAGTTGAATCCGTTTTAATAAAATAATTTTTTTTTTTTTTTTTTACGCATGATAATAAAAATTATAAATCTAGCAAAGATTAAATATAAAAAATAATAATTCTTAATTCTTTTTAGTTTATTCTTTATTTAGAATATTTTAATATTTACCTATTTAAACTAAAATATTATAATAAAAGTTTTTTAAATAAAAATTTTATAGTACTCTTTTGACAAATAATAAACCCTTAAAAGAATATTGCTTAAAAAAATTAAACTTCTCTATTTATTTCTTTTTATCTACTATTTGGAATTTGTTTAGTATTTAATATTTTTAGTTTTTCTTTTTTTTTTTTTTTCTTTTTAGTAAGGCAAATTATTAGTATTTTAAATAGTAAACCGAAAAAATCATTTATACATATATATATATTTATTAATATTTTAATTTGTAAGGTAATATTCTTTTTAAAAAAAGTTAAATTTAAATCAATATTATGATTTAGGTTTTATTAAAAAAAAAAGAAAAAAAAAAAAAAAAAAAAAGAGAACATAAAATTTTAGATAATTTTTTAAACTTTACATATTTATGATAACGGAAAAATTGTTCATGTATTTATAAAATACACTAATTATGTTTATTCATTTATTTTTTTGTTAAATTTTAATCTTAAAAAACGTATGGAAAATATATGTAAATAAAATTATTAATTATCTATATGTTGCGATATTTTCTTTTCTAGATCTTGTGGTGGCTGTGTAGCATCCAGATTAATTAATAAATTTTTGTTTTCATAATAATTTACCAAAGGTGTTGTTTCATTTTTAAAAATATGTAATCTTTTTTTTAAAACTTCTTCATTATCATCTTCTCTTTGTATTAAGGGTTCATCAGTTAAATCATCTTTGAATGGAGTTTTTGGAGGATTAAAAATTTTATGATAAATTCTTCCTGAGGGTTTATGAATTAATCTACCACTTATTCTTTTAACTAATACATCGTCTGGAACGTTAAAGTAAAAAACTCCATTTAGTTTAGTTTGATTTTTTTGTAATAATTTATTCAAATCTTCTGCTTGTTTTACATTTCTAGGATACCCATCTAGAATAAACCCTTTTTTACATTGAGGAGATTTTAATTTTTCGTCTACTAGGGATAATACAATATCGTCATCTACTAATTTTCCTTCACTCATTATATCTTTTACTTTATTTCCTATTTCACTTTTTTTTTCTATTGCCTCTCTTAATAAATCACCAGTAGACAAATGACAATAACAGTGAGATTTTTTTAAATTTAAAGACTGTGTTCCCTTTAAAAATTAAAATAAAATGTTATTAAAATTTGTTTATATTGTTTGTATATTTTTAAAAATATATAATTCTATATTTAATTTGTATTTTTTGTTATACATATATCCACATAGTTTCTACTATTATTTTATCTATATATTTAAACGTTTTAGTACTTTTTTTTTTTTTTTTCTCTTTTATTTTCTTACCTTTCCTGATCCTGGAGCACCTAAAAAAATATATCTACCATCTGGTTTACTTAGGCATGCATATCTTCTTTTCAATTCATTCAAAAGATCAATTGTTGATATATTCTCTAAATTATCATTCATTCTATACATAGATCTTAGTATTAAATATAATATACAGAATTTAATTACCAAAAATTTTGATAATTTTTTAAAAAATTTATAAATATGAGATTTATATTTATCACAAAAAACAAACATATAATTAATAAGAGTTTAAAGAAATAATTTATATAAAAATAAATATGAATATATTTTTTTTATTTATATTTTTAATGTTTTTTTAGTTTACAAAAGGAAAAAAATATTTATTCTCTAATTTAATTAAAATTATCAAAAAAAAAAAAAAAAAAATATAATATATATATACACATATATATATCTATATATATAATTAGAAAAAAATAAAATAAAGAGTAAATAATAAATAATATTTTTTATAGTATGTAGTGGGTGTTTTTAATTCTATAATTAAAATATAATAATAATAATAAATAAATATAAAAATATGTTTTAATTTTTGTTATTTGGATTAAAAAAAAAAAAAAAATAATAAATTAATAAAATTATATATTGTTCAAAAATTGAATTTAAAGAAAAAAAAAAAAAAAAAAAAAAAAAAAAAAAAAAAAAAAAATGTATAGAAGTATAAAATAGAATAATAAAAAGATTAAACAAGTATAATAAAATATGTAAGGCAATTAAAATATATATATATATATATATATATATATATATATATATATATATATATATATATAGATATAGATATATGTAAAGCCTTAAATTATGTAAATAAAATAAATTATTTCATTTTATAATTCTAAAATTGTTTGTTATATAAAAAAAAAAAAAAAAAAAAAAAAAAATGCATATAATTATTTATCTTGTATTATAGATAACATCATTATATATATTTAGTCATAAAAGAAAAAATTTTATTAGTTGCAATGGTACTGTATATCATTGGATTAGGACTAGGAGATGAGAAGGATATAACAGTTAAAGGAAAAGAATTAATCGAAAAATCAGATATTGTTTATTTAGAGTCATATACTTCTATATTATTTATATCAAAAGAAGATTTAGAAAAATTTTATAAAAAAAAAATTTATGAAGTTGATAGAAATTTTGCTGAAGAAAATTGTGAAGAAATTTTAAATGAAGCAAAAAATAAAAGTGTATCATTTTTAGTTGTGGGAGATCCTTTATGTGCTACTACTCATCATGATATTATTTTAAGAGCAAAAAAAGAAAATATTGATGTTCATATAATTCATAATACTTCTATCATCTCAGCTATTGGTGAAAGTGGAATGCAACTTTATAATTTTGGTCAAATAGTGTCAATCCCTTTTTTTGAAAAAGATTATAAACCTACAAGCTTTTATGATAAAATAAAAATTAATTTAGATAATAACTTTCATACATTATGTCTATTAGATATTAAAATAAAAGAAAGAACAATTGAAAATATAATGAAAAACAGAAACATATTTGAACCACCAAGATATATGACTATTAATGAAGCTATTGATCAACTTTTGTATTGTGAAGATATTCATAAAAAGAATGTTATAACTAAAAATACCTTAGGTATTGCAATGGTTCGAATAGGATCTAATAACCAACAAATTATATCAGGAAATTTATTAACATTAAAATCGTTAAATTATGACAAACCTTTACACTCTCTAATAATATGTGCATCAACCTTACATGATATAGAAAAAGAATATTTTAATATTTATTTACATAAAAATTAAAATGAATTTTTATTTTTTATTCTTTTATTTGTTATTTTTTATTTTATATCATTTTTTTTTTTTTTTTTTTTTATCTTTCACTAAATGATATATATTTATACAAATATTAAAAATCCTATTCATTTTTTCTTTTTTTTTTTTTTTCTCTTCCGTAGATTATTTATTTTTATTTTAAAATTTAAGTTAAAATTAAAATATTGTTTACTAAAATAATTATATCTTTTAAATATTTTATAATATTATATTTATCATTACAATTTTATTATGTAACATTTTCCTGTACTTCCATAAGAAAAATGATAAACTATTTATATTGTTGTTCTAATATTAAACAATTTATATCTTAAGTATCTCATTTGCATTTAGTTTTTTTGACAAAGAATAAATTTATGTAAATGAAGTTTTTTTTCTTTTGTCTTTTTAATTTTTTAAAGAATATACTCGTGTATATATATTTTTCATAATTTATTAATATATTTTGTTTATACGAATGTGATGTAATTACATTTACATTTTTTTATTAATATGAATAATTTAAAAAAAAAAAAAAAAAGAAACATAAATAGAATAACTTGTAAATTCTTTTAACTTTTTCATATATATTTTTAGTTTTAATTTTTTTTTTTTTGATTCAACATCCTCTAAATAAAAAATAATATAATCCTTTAATAAAATATCTATATATATATTTATATAGACAATTATTTGATTATCATACAAGAATATAATTAAATTATTATATTTTTTAATCTATTTTAGAATATATTTTAAAATGACTAAAATACTTATCTTTTTTTTTACATTAAGTAGCTTTTTTTCGTATATTTTTACATGCATTCATGTTGAAGACACTTTTAAAATTAAACTAAAAAAAATAAATACTGGAGATTTTTTAAAAATATGTTGCAACAACTTTTGTTCTTATTTGAAATATGATGTAACTAAAAAAACATATTTACTGATTAAAAAAAATGTTGCATTGTATAGTTGTACAAATATGATGAAGCTATATTATTCTAACGGTCATTCCTATTTTACACATTTTCTTTTTGTCAACATTGATCAAGTAATTGAATTTATTGATTCTTTTGAAGAAGAAAAAAAAAAATTCCTTTTTTGGAAACCTTTCTTTGAATTAATAGAAATAATTAAGGAAAAAAAATACATTTATAGTCCTCTAGGATATTATCAGAAAAACAATTTTAATTCAAAAAATAAATTAAATTATTACAATAATAATGAATTAGCTAATCATACAAAAAAATACAGTATTTGTGAAGAAAAAAAAAAAAAAGAAGAAGATACCAATACTAAAAATGATGAAATTTTTGAAAAATGTAAAGATTATCTTAAAAAGCATAATAAAAATAATATTTATAATATGGGTTCGTTAATACAAAACTTTAGAGAAATAATTGTTGAAATGAAAAAAGAAAAAATTGATATTTTTGGTAATTCAAAACATGTTGCAAATAAATTTGGATATTCTAATAATATAATTAATAATAATAATAAGAACTCAAGTAATATAGTAGAAAAATATAATTCATTTCATAAAATATGGGAAAATTATTTAAAGAAAAATATTTTTATTTATAATCCTATATTTTTATTTCTATTTGAAGATCAAAATATTTGGAATTTTAGTATAAAAGAGATTGATACAAGTTTAGATACAAATTATAAAAAAAAAGGAAATATGCAGAAGAAAAATTATAAAGAATTTTTGCGAAAAGAAATTGTATTATTTCTTTTTATTATTTTAACGATACTTGTTCAAATATTTTTAAAAAGAAAAAAATGTAAAATAAAAGCTGGAAAAAAATACACAAAAAATAAGTACAGAATTACTCAAAACAGACTTGCTGAAATTCATGTAGAATATAATAACAAAATACAAACAAATGTTGGTTCTAAAATAAAAGATATTACAGATGAAGATTTGATAAATTTAATGGCCCATAATAAAGCAGAGATAATAATTGTTTGTCAACCTTAATTTTTTTTTAATTTATTTTGTTAATATTATAAAAAAAAGTGGATCTACTATTACATTTTAAGATATATTTAAAAAAAAAACTTTTATTTTTGGTATATTATTTTTTTTTTTTTTTTTTCTTTTTCTTATTATATATTTTATTTACGTATTATTTTTATTAAATACTTTAAAAATAAATTAGGATTTTAATTTTTAAAATTGTTTTTTTTTTTTTTTTTTTTTTTGTTAAATATTTTTTCTTTTTTTTTTTCTCTAATAACTATATATGATTTTTAAAAATGAAACTTTACATTTTTTTAAATTAACTTTCATATTTACAAGATTATAAATTACAACTTTTTTATGTATATTTTTTTTTTTTTTTTTTTTAAAATATAAGTTTTAGCTTAATTTTTCTGTATTAACATTTCCGTTTTTACATTTTTGTATATTTTTAAAAATCATAAATTATATTTTTATGAGTTAGTTAAACAATAATTTATAGGATATATTTAAAAAAATAAAATAAGTAAAATTAATGATTTGCTTTTTTTAAAATATAGTCTATTGTATAGAAAAAAAAAAAAAAAAAATTAAATAATTAAATACCTATTCATTCTATATTATCTTTTTGATAAGAATTTTATTTTAATACAGACCCCAGTGTTCCATATATATATATAATGGAACAATTTTTTTTTTTTATGATATGTATACATAAGTAATTAAATATATAAATAATTGAGAAATTTTGAAATTTATAGAATAAATATAATAATAAATGTATAAAAATACTTTAAAATCCATTAATATTTCAGAGCATATCGAACATCATAATAATAATAATAAAAAAAAAAAAAAAAAAAAAAAAAGAAATTTAAATAATTGTATTATTATATAAAAAATATTAAATATAATTTTAAGAATATAGACAACTATAGTTAATAAATGAGTAATTACATGAATGATATAAAAGAATAAAAATAAAAATGATTGATTCTTTTGAATTAACAAGATTATGTGATTATGAAAATGTTAATAGTCACTTAATAAAAATAGGATCTTTTAATATTTTATGTGATTTACCATTAGATCCAAAAGAAATATTAAATTTTAAAAAAAACATTTTAAGTTCTAAAGATTTTGATAATAAAAAAAATGAGTGTATAAATTTAAGTAATTTAGAAACATATTCTTTATCAAAAAAGTTATTATTAGACATAAGTAATATTCCATTAAAAATTCATATTGTTTTGATTTCATGTACTGAATGTTTCATGGGTTTACCAATATTTTGTAAGTATTTTGATATTAGTGAAACACAAATAATATGCACAAAACCAGTATTTACATTTTCTATGAGTGCAGTGGATAATTTACAAAAAAAAGAAGATTATTTACCTTTATGGAATGAAGAATATACCCACACTAGTTTTAATGAGAAAATTTTAAAAAATGATGAATATTTTGATTTAAAATTAAATTTTAAAAATTCCTTACATTTGTTATCTTATAAAGAAAAAGTTAGTTTCAAGCAAAATGATGAAATAATTAATATAACTTTATATAGTAGCGGTTATTCTTTAGGTAGCTCTAATTTTCTTATAACAACCGATCTTATTAGCATTTTTATTGTCAATAAAAGTTCTTATAATATAAAAAGGCATCCATCACCATTTGACACTACTTGTTTAGAAAAAGCAGATTTTGTTATATTTACTTCTTATTTTTCTAATAGTCAAAAATATTTTATAAAAAATGAATTCAATAAAAATGATGAAAATCTTCCAAAAGAGGAAAATTCTGTAAATGATCCAAATCAATTAATAAATGAGAATAATTCAAAAAGTGTTAATTATTCAAATGATGTGAGAAAACTAATTCAAAAAAAATTAATTGTATACATTGAAAAATCATATAAGGATAGTTTAAATAAAATATGTTCAATTGTATTAGAAACCATAAAAAGAAAAGGTTGCGTATTAATTCCTGTTGATTTACATTTTTTATATTTTATTGAACTAGTTGAATTGATAGGAGTGATAATAAGTAAATATTTAACTAAAGAAGAGCAAGTGTTAATTTTTAGTATAATATCTAATATAAATAATGTAATACATCAAGCTGATTTATGTGCAGAATGGGTAGAAGAATCAAGAAAAAAAAAATGTAGTAAAATGTCAAATCCTCAAGGTCCATTTTCTATCGAAATTATGATAAAGAATAATAGATTAATAGTAGGAAACATTATGAATGATATATGTAAAAATTTTAGATATCCATGTGTTTGTTTTATTCAAGATTCTACACTAAGATTTTTTGAATCTTCTATTTTATTAGAAAAATGGGCATTCAGTGAAAATAATTCTATTATCTTTATTGATCCTTTTTATGATCCAATTTCCATTTTATATCCTTTTAATATTTTTAATAAAAAAATTAACACGTATTACTGTCCTCTTTTATGGGATCTTAATGAAATGAATATTATTGATATTATGAATAGTAATACCAATAAAAAATGTATTTATATATTGCCTCATACATTACAAAATATATTCAAAAAGAATCAAGAAATTTTCAAAGATAATGCAAACTGTAAAATTAATAACAACAATGTAGATTATGAACGTAGTAGTAATGAAAATAATACATTAGAAAGAGATGAAAATAAAAATGAAAATGATTTTGTTATAGATTACTATAAAAGAAAGTTTTTATTGGACATAAAAAATAATATAATATATTTATATCCTCTAAAAAAAAAGATAATATATAATAAATTTATGGAATTTAATAAAAAAATGCAACCTGTCCGCTTTTCAATTGATGGTTCAAGTAATTTAGAAAAAATTCTAAAAAAAATAGATAATTTCTATTGTGCGAAAGTTAAATGTAATTATACTAGTTCCTTCATGGGTGATTATATAAAAGAAAGTCATATAGAACAACAAAGACATGAATATAATATAGAAGAAGAAAAAAAAAAAAAATATATAGATGAAAGCAATATTGATTTAATGTTTGGTTCTATAAATGTTGATGATTTAATAAATAATTTGTTAGATTATGGTTATAATAAAAATGATATAACAGTACATTATCCAGATGATAATAAATCATATAAAGAGGAAAATGATTATTTATGGTTTATTCTTATTAAATCTATCAATTCCAAAATAATTTGTTATACAAAATATGACATTGAAGTATTTAGTAGTAGTGTAATGTTAAGACAACAAATTAAACAAATTTTAAACAAATTAACAAATCATTTGTAAAAAAAAAAAAAAAATGATATGAAATATTATTTACTAAAATATATTTATTTAATGATATTATAGCTTATTATTTTAGATATTAAATCTTTGTAAACTTTTTTTTTTAAGAATATTTAATTCTTATAAATGTTATTAGAAAATATATGTGTTTTTTTTAAAAATATTTAATACATACATATATTATTAAAAAAAAAAAAAATATGACAAAAAATTTCAAATATCAGAAATTATAATAAATATTACTAATGAGAAAATATATAAATATAAAAGACCAAAAGTTAAAAAAAATGGGAAATGAAGAAAAATAAAAAAATATATAAATATCAATATAATGATACATAAAAAAAAAAAAAAAAAAAAAAAAAAAAAAGAGAAAAACGTAAATAAGTATACGAATCTTTTATGTATTAAATAATATTTAAAAAAAATTATTAATAAAAGTTGTATACATAAATATATATATATATTATATTCACAGAATAAATAATTAGTTTATTATTTTTTTTTTGTATATTTGAATACTAACTTATATTTTTTCTTTTTTTTTAAAATTTTCTTTTCCAATTTTTTTTATTTGCATGAAAGTTACCCCATATTTGTCCGTGTAAACGAACTCTTTTCAAATAACCAGGTGGTAATTTTTCCATTTTATCTCTTCTTTGTTTAAAATACAAATAATACTCTTCTGGTAAATTTTTGATTTCATTGTGAATTCCTTCAATTCTTAATAGCGAATCTTCTTTTATAGAAACTATGTATTTTGTTTTAAAAAATCCATTTTCATCAAAAGAATTTGATGTTACATTGTTGTTGTTATAATATTCAGTAAATAAATTATCTGATTTAATTTTCAATATATTTGTTTTTGAATCAATTTTTATATTTATGTCTGGTAGTAAATAACCAGCTATATTCCTTTCATATTTTATATTTTCATCTTCTAACTGACTTAATTCCATTAAGCATACAGTACCTATTTCTTGTATTACATATCTCTGATATATTTTTGCGTTTATGAATATTTTCTTTATTTTTTCCAAATATTTCTTATTAATTCCTGGCATAATTTCATTACCATTTATTAATATGATACGAACATTACTAGCCTTATTATTAATAAATTCATTTTTTGTTATATTATTAATTTCAGAATTTTCAAAAAAAAAAATAAAATCACGAATTAAGTAATTGTTACATACTAATACACTTATAAACTTTTCTGATTGTTGTATTTCTTCAAATAAGCTTAAAGCATCGATGAAATAAAAATCACTATTAATAAAGTCATTTTTTATAATTAAATTATGAATTGAAAAGTTGTTATTTTTTTTTTTCATATTATTTTTAAACCATTTCATATAATCATTATTATTTATTAATTTATTTTTATTTACTTCAGGAAATACAATAGTTCCACCTGCATGTATGACACTAAATATTATATCAAAATATTGTATATTATTTGGTGGAATACATAATAAAACATTATCTTTTTCATTAAATTTCATTATTTTATTGAAATTCTTAGATTGATTAAATATATTTGATAACAGAAATTTTATGCTTTTATCGCATTCATTTTCTTTTGATAACTGTAGATGAATAGAAACATTATTTTTGTCTTTTAGTTCTTCCCATTTTTCAATGAAATGTTTTTCATTTGTTTTTTCTTTATTTTTTATCTTTCCATTGTTAAAATATATATTTTTCATTTCGTTTAATAATTCCTTTTCTTTGTTCTTATATTTTTCATATTTTTTTGAATCATATAAAAATTTTTCAGAGAAATTTTCTTTTCCTTCTTGTAGATCTTCTAGATATTCTTCATGAGATAAAATATCAGGTTTATCATAACAAATCAAAAATGGAATTTGTAAATTAAAAGATATTTCTTCTATATAATGTTTATAGAAAGGATGACATAAAATTAAACTAGTATTATTTTCTGATAAAAAGAATGCATATTTTTCTTTTATTTGTATTGATTTTTTTATTGGTGTAGGAATTGATATAAAATCAAAATTATTCATTAAAATGCAAAACTTAGAAATAAGTTGAGAGTAACATGGAGGGAAGAGACTACCTATTTTTTTCACATTATAATTAGATTCATCATTTAATTTAAAATAATCATTTATATAATATAATAGTTTTTTATTCATCAAATAAACATCATTGAAAAATTCTTTAGATGACACACTATATTTATTTGTATAAACATTAAATGAACTGTTAAACAAATTTTTGAGAGTACTAAAATTACTTCTTTTCATTAATAGAGAATTTGAATAGATTTTTATACACATTTTTTCAATTCTTTCAAGAAAAAGTATGTTTTTATATATATATAATAGATTATTTTGGTTATATTCAATTTTTTAAAATATATAAATCTAAAATATTTTTAATTTAAACAAAATATTTTAGAAAAATAAAATAGTGATTATATATAATTAATAATAAATTATAAAATATATTTTATGTTATTTCATCAATATTAATATAGCTACTCTACAATATTTTTTTTTTTTTTTTTTTTTTTTTTTTTTTTATATTATTTAATAATTTATATATATTAGATTATTCATTCATTGTGTAAACTCATTTATTAAAAGATTTATTCATTTAGTACATATATTTTATCTTTTGTGATACTTATAATTTTAAATAAAAAAAAAATTTCTCGAATATATGATTATTCATAAATTATTGCCCATTAATTTTTATTCCCTTTAAATAATTCACTTTAAAAATATACAAGATCTTAAAAAAAAAAAATTATAAAAACTTATACACTCATAAGGTTCTTGATGTATGTTATTGTAGTAAGTAATATCACATTTTTGTTTGTTTCCTAATTATTTCTAACATTATACATTTTCTACTTAAATAAATGAATCAAATACACTTTCTTATGTATATTATTAATATATTAAAATATGTTTTCATTTTAATCCATAGATTATACTTTATTTTCTATTTTTTTTTTTTTTTTTTTATTTTCATTCTAATTAAATTACTCCACTAATAATTACAAATTTTAAAGTATGTTAATTCTTAATACTAAGAAAAATAGATATATTTAAAATAGCAGTTAAAAAAAAAAAAAAAAAAAAGGAGAATTTAGTTATATATACAAAATTATAAATTAAAAAATATATATGAATTATATTAAGTGTATCTATTAAAATATAAATGATTTATACATTAATAGATGTCACATTTAAATTTACAAATAAAAATATATATATTTGATGCTTAATTTTATAATTAAAACAAAAAAAAATAAATAAACGTAATTAAAAAAATTCACTTGTTTATAATAAATACTTTTCTAATATTATAAAATTAAAAAAACAATTATTAAAAACATGTGTACAAAAGTAGTATAACAAATAATACATAAAAAATAATAAAATAACTACTACATAAGAAATATATTTGTGAAATATTTTTTATAACATTTCTGTGTATTTAAATATCTGAGAATTTTTTTTTTTATTTTTTTTTTTTTCAATGTTTAAAGCATTTTTACTTTTTTTTATGCAAATAAATTTTTTTTTAATAAAATTTTTATGATATTATATATTTTTAATTTTTTATCTTCAAAAAATATTATCTTCTTTTTAAAGAAAATTATAAATAGATATAATATATATAATTTTCTTTTTTTAATCTAATTTTTTTTAAAAATTTTAAGGATTATTTACTGTATTCCCGCTTCACTATCATTTTACATATACATTTTTTTTTTTTTTTTTTTTTTTTAAAATAAGATTTAAGTAGAAATGGCTTAAGTTATTTTTAATAATTTCTATTTTTTTTTTTAATTATATATTCTTTTATTCTTTGGACATGAAATTCTAAATTTGAAAAAACTTTTAGCTTATTTGCATTGTTATATTTGATAAAATTGAAACTTTTTAATAATCAGAATTTACTCTATTTTACTTACATTTAGTTTTAAAAAAAATATATTTTCTTTTTCTTATACAAATAAAGTAATTAAGTTTTTATATACATATATATATATATATGTATATAGTAGCATGAATAAATATTATTATTAATAAAATTATTTATAATCCAAATAAAAAAAGAAAATATGGGAAGAAAAAAACGTAAAGTGAATATAGAATTAAAGCCATTTTGTTATTATTGTGATAGGGAATTTGACGATGAAAAAATTCTTATTCAACATCAAAAGGCAAAGCATTTTAAATGTCTGCAATGCAATAGAAAATTAGATATAGCTAATGGTTTAGTTGTACATATGCTACAAGTACATAAAACTAATTTAAAAGTAGTACCTAATGCATTACCAAAAAGAAATGATCCTGAAATTATTATAAGAGGAATGAATGGAGTACCTCCTGAAATTATTGAAGAAAATTTAAATAAGTTAAAACAGAAACTAGGAGATAAAGATATTAAAAGACAACAAAGAGTTAACTGGGCACAAGTTGCTATGGCACCTACAATGGAGCAATTTTTGCAACAAGCTCAAACAGGAAATTTTACATTTCCAGGTTTTAATTCACCTATTTTACCACCTCATAATTTATTATCTAACTCAACAGATTTAAAAAAAAAAAATATGTCATCTGCACCTTTATATTTACCAAATAATAATTTAAATATGATGCAACCACCATTAAGTACCAATTTATATTCTTCTAACAATCAGCAAAATCTGACAATACCAAATATTCCCTTTCATGTATCTTCAAATATACCACCTAATAATATGAATTCATCAACTCCCACAGGGATCCCGTCTAATATTCCTCCACCAACGCCACCTAATATTTCTCATAAATATCCACAAAATATACATTTATCAGGGTCTTTTATGCCACCCAATTTACCAACAAATATACCTCAAACTCATCCAATTTGTATTCCCCCAGGTATTTCTCCACCTATTCCTCCATCCACTCCACCAACCACACCATCAGCAATACCTCCAGTTATTCCATCATCTGTACATCTTTCAGTCCCTCCTTCAGCTCCTCCAACGATGCCTCCTTCAGTATTGCCTACAATTCCTTCTGTAATGCCTCCCACTGGACCACCACCTAATGAAACATCAATAATATCAACAAATTTATCTTCAAATGCACAAACTGGAAAGGGAACAACAATTCCTGGTATAAATATAAACAATAATGTTAATAAAACTAATGGAATACAACATAATAACCCTCCGAATGAAGGCATAAATCATCATATAATGAATAACATCAATTCCAGTAGTATGAATAATATGCAAACTTCTAAACAAAGCTCATTGGAAATGTCTCCAAATAATTATGATATCCACACAAATTCTAATGATACTCAAAAAAATGAAACAAATAATTCAACAAAAGAAATTAACGGAACCATAAATAATAATTCAAAAATAGAGGAAAAGGATAAAACAAATATAGAAGGTGAAAACAAAATACAAAAATCGAAAGATAAAGAAAATACAGATTCGGAATATTTATATGATAACTCTATATCAACAACTATAAAATTGTCTATTCCTCCACCTAATCCCCCATCAATTCCACCAACAGGAGATTTAAAATTAAATTATAGTGAAACAGTAATTTTTTTTTTTTTTTTTTAATGTTGTATTTATCTTATAAATGAACTTCCTAAGTATACTTTAATAATTTTCTTTTTTTTTTTTTTTTTTTTTTTTTTTTTTGTAGATTTCAGTAAATAAACTGAAAGCAATAAAAGAATTTGAGTGGAATGATAATACAGAGAAATGAGAGAACTTTAAAATAGAAAATAAGTAATTTAAAAGTTCAGTGATACATAATATTAAATATATATATATAAACTTTTTTTTTTTTTTTTTTTATTTGAATAATTTTGTTTTTTAAAGAAATGAGATTCTCAGTAATTATCTGTGATTGTGTAATTTTATATATATTTTATAAATATATGCATATTTATTTTATTATATCATATATATATATTTAATTTTAAAATTAACATTAATCCAAAATAATTATTTTTCTCTTTTTATTTTTGTTTATATAAAAGTTATCACAAAAAAAAGAATTGTTTCCATTTTTTACTTCTTTCTGATCACTGTCAACCTTTTTTGCTCCTAAAAAATGTACACTATCATCATCTGAATAAAAATAATAATAAAATGAATTCATTAATAATACATTTAATGTATATATATATAAATTTAATTTGTTTGGATATGCATTATATATTGTCATAAAACTTATATATATAATTATTGTTCTAAATCACTAAAATTAACTGTTAGTTCCATGAATCATAGAAATTTTAAGTATCTTAATTCATTTTTTCTTTTCTTATATGAATATTTCAAAATAATATTATATATATAATGAATCGTATATTTTATTTAAATGAATATATATTTATTTTAAAAAAAGAATACTTATAGTACTTCTATTTTATATTCTTTTTATATATTAAAATAATAAAATTATTAGATTAATTTAAAGAAATACAATTTTTTGTTTAGAATAAAAACAGTTATATATTTTATTTATATATATTCTTGTATATAAAATATATTTTCTCTTTTTTTCAATTTCATAGTTATATAAATTCTTAAATATGTTTATAGTAAATATTGATGATCATTACTGTAACTATTGAGCACAGGTGCTTTTCTTTTTGGATTATCATCAAAATTATCTTCATAACTTTTTTTATTTATATAATTTATATTCATTTTTGAATTTAAATAATTTTTATTTTTATTATTTGAGTTTGCACAATTTACAGTATATTTTGTATTTATGGAATTTGTTGGAAGTTGTTTGTCTTTTTTTGTAGGCATATAATTTACAAAATTTTCATTTTCCTTATTTTTATAAAAATTATTCACTGGATCTATTATAATTACATCATTATTTACGGAGCAAATTTTATCATCATATTCTGTTCTACTTTTAAATAAATTTTCACGCTGCTCCTCTGTTAAGCAGCTTTCAAGGGATAAATTGATTATTTTACCATCTTTATTTATAAAATTATTCATTAATCTTTTTTCTGCAGCTTGTGCAGCCATTACCTTCGGGTTGCTATTAAAAAATATAGATTTATTTTTACTATTACCAACTTTTTTTCCTGTATATCCTAAGTTTTTATATGCGTACAATTCGTTATATTCTAAAATTAGTTTATCTAGTAATTCATAAAATGATTTATCATGTCTACTGTGTACTATATGTGCTAATTCATGTAGTAAGGTTCCCATTATATCGTTAAAATGAAATAGTTCACTTCCCTTTTTATTTCGAAGTCTTATCTATAAAAATTAAAAAAAATAATAAAATATACTAATATACAAATATTTATTTGCATATTTGTGAAAATCAGTTGTTATAAAAGACTTTTTTTATTTTTATTTATAGATTCCATATTTCACTAAGAACAACTTTTTACATTTTTATTGCTATCTCTTTTTATTTAAGCTGAAAATATTTAATAACTTTCAATTAAATATATATACCTTAATTTCTGAATTCTTTGCAATGTTTAGACCTAATAAACTTGGATTTGCAGGCAGAAATTCTGAAAGTAATTCAACTGAAAAACGCCTTTTTCTCATAATTGGCTGTATTAACAAAAAAAAAAAAAAAAAAATTGAATGTTTTAAATATTATGAATTTTTTTTTTTTTTTTTATGAAAAAAATTGATCAATCAAGAACTATGTTTTCATAAATATAAATCAAAATCAATATTATATATATACTTCATCTTTTTTATATATTTATTTTTTTTTTTTTTTTGTTTTCTTTAATGTATTATGTTTATACCATTACTTGTTCAGCAGCTTTTCTTAAAATGGATTTTGCTTTCTTATCATTTTCATTCAAAACTTTAATTTTATGAATTTTATATTTTAAATCATCTAAAGTTTTTATATTCATGACTTAATAGGGTAGTTGTAAAATATATCATTCTTTATTTTTATTTTTTTCAAAGAAACAAAAATGTACTATATTGCACACAAACAACTTTATTTTTTTTAATTTTAATCTAAAGAAATGTAAAATTTAAATCAAGGCTGCGTTTAACTACCACATTTTAATCTTCTTAATTTAATGAAAAAGCAACATAGCACTAAACAAATTATATTTTTAATGTTTTTTTTAATATATATTCTATGTTAATAGAAAATTTTCTTTAAAATATTTTTTTAAAATGACGTTTCAAAAAAATAAAACAATTACTTAAATTTATCACTTAATAAGTAAAATTTAAAAAAAATTCATATTCCTTAATTTGAAAAAATGCTAATAAAATATATTAAAAAAAAAAAAAAAAAAAAAGATGTGTCGCCTCTTTTTACAAATCTAAGAAATATTTATGTTTAATTTTTATATATAATTGAATTATATTATTAATTTTCTTTTTTTTTTTTTTTTTTTTTTATTTTAGCTATTTTGTTCTTAACAAATAAATATATAGTTAAAAAGTTAAAATATATTTTATGAATATATAGTCTAACTTTACAAAAAGGAAATATTGAGTCAGAAGAAAAATAATTAATACCTAATTAAAAATTAAAAACTCATATATATGATAAAATTTTTACAAAATAATATTATAATTTTTATATAAATTGTTTCATATTTAAATTAATATTAAAAAAAATATATCATAAACAAAAGAAAAAAGCATTTTGCAATATAACTTTTAATTTTAATAAAGTGTATGATTATAAAATAAAATAAAAATCCATTATTAAGTATATTTAATAGATATTAATAATTTTAAATAAATTAAATTTTTATAGACATTTTTGTGTTTATTATATATTATGCTCATTATCTAAATTTTTAATATTTCATTTTAATAAAAAATATTAAAATCAAGAAAATTACTAACATTAATATCATATCCTTTATTAATATAATTTATAAAAGGTTTAAAATGTTAAGGAATTAATATACATAAACCATTTTTGTAAAATATTTTAATTTTTTTTCTTTAGATATTAAAATATTTAACTTAATATAATATGGGAATTACATATGCATATTTTACATTTTTAATAGTGTTATAATAAAACACAATTTATAAATAAAACAAAATATTAATAAAAGAAAAAAAAAAGGTAAGAGAGATTCAATAGTAATTACTATACTAATTAATAAAAACTATTTATAATTATTAATTATAAAAAATCTTTTATATTTTGTTCTACATATCATTTTTTTAATATTTTCATTTATTTCCTCTATAATTTAAAAAAAAGGACTTTCAAAAATAATACAATACATATATGGAAGTATTATTATCATAAAACTAAAATATATGAATAAATGAATTTATAAATTAAAAAAATAATATTTTTCTCTTAATTTTAAAAAATTTAATAACCATGTAGCACAATGTAATATCTTAATGTAGAATTATATCCAACTTTAGGGTTTTTGTATATTTTTTTTTTTATTTTTTTTTGTATGCTTTGAAGCTAATTTTATGAAGATTTATTATATATATAATAAAACTTCCATGATATTTATAAAGAGGCTAATTTTTATTTATTAATATTTAGAAAATAGCTATAATAATACATATTTATAAGTATTTAATTTATACTTCTTAGTAAAAATATTCTTTTGTTTTTTTTTTTTTTTATTCCAAAAAAAAAAAAAAAAAAAAAAAAAAAAAAAAAATGAATCACTAATGAAATATTACAGCATCTTTATTTTAATTAAGCTATTTTTTATTTAAATAATAAATGATTTTTATATTTCTTTTTTTTTTAATTATTTTTTTAAGTAATATGTCAACTTACAAAAAAGAAACCTCCTATAATGTTTATTCTATAGTTGCAGATAAATTTAAAAGAAAAATGAGTTATTTATTGAAAAAGGATGATTACTATTTTTATCGTTATAATTTTAATACATTTTCAAAAGAACTTGAAAAACAATTAAAAAAAAAAAGCAAAACAAAAAATGAATTGGGAATGTTAAATAATGTTCTTGATAAATTAAGTTTTTTACATAGTCAAAATAAAAACAAAAATTATAATAAAAAATGTGATAAAAAATTTAATAAATGTTCAAATGAGCTAAAAGTTGTGGTTAAACCACCACATCTATTTTTAAAAAAAAATTTACCTTTTAATTTTTTTAATTTTGCAAACCTTATTTATATTAAACATAAATTGAAAAGAAATATTTTGTTCTCATTGAATAAAAAGTCATATTCTTCAATTAATAAACACTCCTTTTCGACTAATTACAAAATAATTAAACATCCTGATAAAAAAGAAAGTGAAGATTGTTGTTTAAATGGTCAAGATTTCATGGCAATTGCTGATGGAGTAGGATCTTGGATAAAATACGGAATAAACCCAAGAAAATATCCTGAAAAATTTTTACAACTTCTACACAAAAAAATAAATGAAAATATTAATATGAAAATAGAAGATGCTTTAAATTATGCTTATTTAAATACAGATATTGAAGGATCAGCAACTATTTGCTTGATCATTTTTAATAATAACAATACTGTATCAACAGCAGTAATTGGTGATTCTCAATTTATGATAATTAGAAATAATAATATCATATACAAGTCAAAGCCACAACAATATGAATTTAATTTCCCTTATCAGCTAGGTAGTAATTCGTTAAGCAAACCAAAAGATGCAGAAATTGCACACATAGAAGTTCAAAAAAATGACATCATTGTTGCAGGAACAGATGGTTTATGGGATAATTTATATGATAATCAAATATTAAACATAGTTAAAAAAAACGAATTTTCAATGTTATCAGAAAAAATAGCAAATGAAGCTTTTAATTATTCAAAAATGAAAAGATGGATGTCACCATATATAAAAAATTATAATAAAATATTTAATTGTCATAAAACAGGAGGAAAAATGGACGATATAACTGTATCATGTGCACTTGTTTGTTAAATATTCTGCAAAATTAAATAAATTAAATAAATTAAATATAATAAAATAAAAACCAAAAAAATTCATGGAGGTATATTAATTATCTATTTTACTTAATACTTTTTTAATTATTAAGAATTCAAGTATTAATAGATTATTTATCGTTTAATATGATAAATAATTATCATAAAAAATTATTCGAACAAAAACATTTACATTGTTTCATTCTTCTTATAAAATTTTATAGTATAAATAATATATATATATATATATATTATTTGTTAGTATGATAAAAATTTTTAAGTTTTATAATCTTTATATTATCTTCTCATTTATCTGTTAATATATTAATTATTATTAAAATTAATTTTTTTTTTTTAGCATAACCTGCATATAATATTTATTTTTGTGAATTTAAATATTTATATTAATATTTACATTGTTATTTTGAAATAATTAAAAATTTTATATAAATCTTATTAATAATATAATAGCATTTTTTAGTATTTATACCAAATTTCATTTCTAATATAACTTTATATTTTATTAACCTATATTATTAATCTATATTTTATTTAAATATACTATATCAAAAATAAATATTCTATTCACTTTTTTTAAAAAATATACTAATCTAATTTATTTAACTGAATCCGATATATTTTGTTTTCATTTTTAAATATTAAGACAATAATATTATAATAATATTTCAATTAATTATTTAATAATTTTATTTCTTCAATTTTAATATATAAATATTTAAGAATAAAAAAAAAAGAGCTTAAAAAAAAATTATTTTTTTTTTTAAAACTTTAATTTTCATCTGTCTTGATTAAAAATTTTGAAATCTTATATTTATTAATAATTTCTTTAAAATATTCACTTTTTAAAATAGTCTTATTTTTAATTCTTTGAAATATATATATTTATTTATAACAACAAAAAAAAAAAAAAAAAAAAAAAAAAAAAAAAAAAAAAAAAAAAAAAAAAAAAAAAAATAAATAAAAAAAAAAAAATAAAAAAAGGAAACAATTGCATTATATAATATTATGTTAGATTGTTTTTTTAGCATGAGGTGGAACAATTACTAATATTCACATGAGCTCTATGTGAATAGTATTTATTATATTCTAAATTATTTTGAGAAAATACTTGTTCTTCAGTTGATTTATCATTTATAGATAATTTTTCTTTTGCCATCTTTTTTTTTTTTATTTGTTCTTCAAACAAGTATTCAAATGAATCTTTTTTCATAGAATATGGTATACCTATTGATTTATTCCAAGCATTGGAAACATATAATATTAGATTTTCATAATCTAACAATTCTTCTAATGGGTAAATTCTTTTGTATCCACCCAGATTTTTATTTTCATACTGAAATCTACTTATAGTTAATTTTTCCTTCAATTCTTTTTTATTTTTAACTAACAAATGATTATATTTTTTTCTAAACTTTTGTAAATTTAAATACTCTTGAATATGAATTAATCTATATTTTGAACGCATATATAAAATATTCAAAGTGTCTCTTATAACTGCATATTTTACCTTTTCGTCAACCATAGAACACGTTCTAAAAGAAGGAGAATGATTTACCTCAAGTAACCACGGTTTTAATTTATGATCTAATAAAATATCAAATCCTAAAATTTCAAAACACATACTATTTGAATAGTCACTAATATGTGCTGAATTATAAAAATGTTTTAATTCAGGTTGTATTGAGCAAATTGTTTTAACAATCATATGTTCAATTTTTGTCATTATGGAATCCATAGGTAATCCCTGTTCCTTTAGTTTTTCTAAAACTACTTTCCAACTTCTTTTGTGTCCTATGGTTGCATCATCAGGATTTAGAGAATTTTCAAATTTATCAGATTTTTTGTTGATTGCAAAATTAGTTAAATGCATATTTACTTGTTTTAGATTCTTTGATTTTGGTAATTTATATTTCTCAATTGAAAATCTCACTAAACCGTCTTCATGTAAAAATATTCTAAGAGGATCACATCCAGTTATTAAAACATATAATCTTATATCAAATTTCAAGCCATTTATTAGTAATGGTTTATGTATATATTTTTGAATTATACAACTTTCATATTTATTTATATTATCTAATTTTTTTGTTAAATAAATACCTTTTCCTTGGCATGAATTCTTTAATTTAACTATGTATGTTTTTGAATTACTTTTCTGTTTATAATAATTCTTAAAATCAGAAATTTCATTAGGTAAAATCCATGTGAGAGGAAAAAAATTATAACTTTGAGGAAAATTCTTTTTCATTTTTTTTAAATTTCTAGATAATTCATCTTTTCTTGTTATACCTCTCATTCCAATGAAATGATTAATTTTTTGAAATTTTTTTAACTTGCGAAACCTTTCTTCAGATATAGATGTATCTATCCATATAACATCCCAATCATTAGAATCTGGGGGAGATTCTACCCAGTATTTTGAATCTTGAACAACTCTTCTAATAATGTCATACCTTGTATTTGATAATTGAATTTTATAAAGAAATTTATTTTTTTTTAATATTGCATCATATTTATTTTTTTCATGGTTTATTAAACATTCATCCATTATGTTGCTATATTATATTTAATTTGATTATATGTTAATACTATTATTATTTTTTATTTAAATAAACTTATATATATATTAGTTGTTCTTAAAAATCAAGAGAATAAAAAGTGCTTTTACTTTTTTATATCTCTTTTGTATCATTAAAAAATTTCCTATAATTTATTATATCATCTCGATCAAAAAATTCTGATGATTATTAATTGTTTTTTCTTTTTTTTTTCTTCATCTATAAAATGAACCTTTTATTGAATAATATACATCTCTAATATTTTAATTTGTAATTTAATCTATTAGAAATATTATGATTTTTTAATGAACACATTTTTTATTAAACTATTTTTTGGTCTTTAAATTCATATAAAATAAATTAATTTTCCTAAGACCTTTTATGAATTTTTTTTTATGGTTTATTTATAAAAGTGTTAAATATTAAAAAAAAAAAAAAAAAAAAAAAAGTAAAAAAAGAACAAAAGAGGAAAAGTTCAAATAAAAAAAAAAAAAAATAAAATAAAATAAAATAAAATATTAAAGAAATTATTTTAAGACAATTTTTGAAAATAATGATATATAAAATATTTTAAAATAATTTAATATGATCATTAATAGTGTATTTTTTTTGATGAAAAATTGACATAAATCTTTATACAAATAAACTAGCTCATTTTTATTTATATAGTTACACATTACTCGGATAACACTAATTCTTAGTGAGAATTAATAGAAAAACTAAACTTTTTAATTGTCTATAAAAAAATGAATATTAAAAAATATTGTATATTTTTTTATATGAAGAATACATACATACCATATAAATGGATACACATATAATTACATAATAAAAAATTAAAAAAAAAAGTTAACTAATCAAAAACTATAAGACGTGTTTTTTA